TGTCGATTTTTATTTCATCCGTGAACCATGGCGGAAACTGTTTGCAATATGCATGTGGCCTATTAGTAAACTTTGGTACACATATCTTAAGCATTTCATAAAAAACCTGGTAAAAATATTTGACAGAATCATCAACCTTTTCAATGTGTCCAATTTTGGACCAATTAAAATCCCTTAGTAGTTCGCATAGTAATCTAAAATCAGCTTTTGTAAAATTATATCTGCTTTGAAGATTATTATTTGTGTATGTGAGTTGATTACTTTTTTTACTTCCGTCTTAATTATCAGAGAGGGATGTTTATTATCTATGGAAACTAAAGGTTCTTTATTCTCCTTTATATTCAAATTCAAATTACCAAGCACCAGATCTAGAGTTTTTTGATCCTCATTGAGACAATTGTTGAAAGACTGTAGACTGTAAGTGGCCATTAATAGAGACATTGTTACTATTATATCATTTTTATTAGAAAATTGAAAAGATGTGCCATTTATGCATGGTATATTGTAATCACCAATAAGTACCATGTGTGTGGTTTGAGTGATTAAGGGATCTAAATTGTCAAATAAATCTAGATATTGCCTGTAGACTTTAGCATTTGCGCCCGGTGGAATATAAGTTGAATTAATAATGACTGTGGTTCCGTGTAGTTTAAGTTTTACAAAAATTGTTTCCAAAGGTGAGTTAATTGATATAAGTGAATATATTATATTTTTATTTACAGCAATGAGGACACCTCCTCCGCGTTGTTTTCCTGTTAAAATTTTATCCCTATCCTTTCTATATACTATTTAATTGCAACTAAATAGTTCTCCATTTTTAATGTCTTCTGATAGCCAAGTTTCCGTCAAGATAACAACATCATACTCTTCTGCAGACAAGTTTTTGCTAAACTCCGAGACCTTGGTGCGGAGTCCCCTGACGTTCTGATAATAAATATTTAAAAACATATAGCGTTGCGAGAAACGTAAAAAATATGTAGAAGATGAAAATTAAGTACAAAAACAATATGTATATGTTGATATTGAGCTAGCGCATATAAATGTGTTATTCTAAGAACGTTTTGATTGCTAATAAAAAAGTAGTAATTATTTTTCTTAACATAGTTATAGTACTTTTTCAATGTTAATCGATGCTAATTATTAGTTATTAAATATTTTGCTATTAAATTACGCTTTTTATTCTTCTGCTCTTATAGCGTCTTCGATTCCACTGCCCTGCCTGCGTGGAGTGCACATAAAAGATGAGCGACATATCTATACCGGTTACATTTTAGATTGAACAGTAACTGGTATTGACATATCTCCCACCTTTCGTATGCATTCAGTAAAAGCCGTGCACTAGATTCGAAGACGCTATTAGTGTCGCCTAAATAAAACATTTTTTTGGTTTTTGCATGAACGTAGAAAAAATATTGTATGCAACTCGTGCAAAAAGTGTTATTGCACTCGACGTGTTGTCCAACTCGGCCTGACGGCCGCAGTAAACACTTACTTTTTACACTTGTTGCATAAATAACTATTATACATCTTCAATACAATTTTATTTGGTTGGATATATATAAACTAAATAAGACCCCACGCCGTGATCAGTTTTAACCATTTGTTTGAGTTGAAACACCTTATAGTTACACCCTTATTCCGTGATCACAATATAGCTACAAATAAATCGGCAAACGTCATAAAAATGTCAAAATGAATCTATTCGATTTCATGGTGCATTTATCGAAGCAGAGGCCCTACGGGGAAACTCGTAGCATAAGAAAAATGATAAACGATTTGACTTTGAACTAAAGACGATGAAAATTATTAAAAAGTTGAATTTACTTAGACTTAACCACGTAGATGATCTGTAAGATTATTTGGACCCTTTACCCCTTAAGCCTGCTCATCTAAAATATGTGGGCCTTTATCCCCTTAAGTCAATTTATGTAAAACATATTTGGTCCCTTTAATCCTTAAACCTGCTTATGTAAAAAATATTTGTACAACTGCCTATGTAAACATATTTGGCCCCTTCACAGCTTGCACATTAAAAATATTTAGTTTCAGTTCCTTTTAAGCCGTTTCAGGTGAATTATTTTGTCGTTTTAGCCCTTACGCCTGCCCATGTAGTAATAATTGGCCTATTTATACATTAAGCCTGCATGTATAAAAATATTTCAATATTTGTCCTTTAACCCTTAAGTCTATCTAAGCAAAAATATTTCGCCCTTTACTCCTTAAGCTCGCCTGTGTTAAAATATTTGGGATTTTTACCCCTTAAGGCTGCGCGTGTAAAAATAATATTTGGATTCTTCATTTTTTTATCCTAATATAAAATTCTGTTATTGAGTAATGTTAATCTTGAAATACATGAAATAACGTTTACAAGCTAATACATTAAATATAAAATGCACGAACAAAGAACAAGTATGCCATGTGATTGTGTTAAATGCTGGAGAGACAGTGAGATACATATTAATTTATCTATGGTGAGAAAACGGTTTTATTTCGCATCGACTGTCTCCATAGAAACTAGGGGAAAATTACGCAAACAGTTACATTCTGGAATTTGTTAAAGATCGTGCAAAAATTAACGCTACTTCATCATCCTGTGTGTTATTAAACTCAAATAAAAACTTTTATTGAACGTTCAAAAATTATAAATAATTTATTTGACATTTAAGAGTGACAACAATATAGAAAAAAAAACTATGTATGGTTTCACAAATTTGTTGATAATTAATGACATTCATAAAGTGCAGTCAGTCAATCAGTACCCTTGCTGTGCATAGAAGAAGCTCCATAAGAAATGCATTCCATTTTAAAAACATTGATATTCAAAGCAATACCTAATAATAAATCAAAAATTCTGAAACAGGGTTATCAGCTAGAAGAAATTGTCTAAGAACATAAAAACTGAAAGTCGATCAGAGCTTGAATTTTAGAGTTATCGCGTTGGCGCACAGACGATTTTTTGCATTTTTGAATTTAAAATGATCAGAAAAAAATTTCGTTGACACAAATGCCGTACTGAGACCCCATAAGATTGGGGACCTCTATGATTAAATAAACTTTATTTCAAATTTTATACAACAATTATATTTTTACCTATATTTACCCCTATTTATCTACACGCGAGATTTTTTAATAATATTTTGTTGCTTGGTATTTCGACAACAAGAAACGGCTTTTAAAAAAATAACGAAGCTACAATAATTGTAACTGATAATCTGATGAATATAGAATACGTATTTACTTAACAGTTTTAGCAAACAAAGTGTAAAATCGTTCACACACAATTCCATTAACTCTAAGTGGTTGAGGTATTATTGATTTTCATAAAAAAACGTAAACGTAAATGATGTACTTTGGGCTCTTTTAGTCGATATGTAGGACGAACATAAAGTAATCAGTAGTACTATTTTATTTGTAATGAAAAAATGGCTTTGTTGAGGATAATCAGACAAATTAGGCAATACAAAGAAAATGATTGCCCGTGGGTAATGTCAACCCTGTCGGCCTGGTGATTTGACAGGTTCAATGTTATATAGACTGATCACCATGTTTTTCAAAATAAACATAAGCCTATGCCTTGAAGTAAAAATGTACGTAATTATTTTATTTAAAATAGGTTTTAAAACACATTTTTGTTAAACCGATTCCGTTTAAGAAGTACTTGCGAGGCAATATGGTCGCTCGCAAAACGATCCGGTTTGAGCAATCTATATAACTATATATCATTGACTCTGTCATAGACATCAGGCCCACAGGGTTCCTATATCATAACCTGTCATTATTTTCTGTTATACTCTTTAGGTTCTTTCGTTCTTAGTTGGTACAGTGCCCACCAGTGTAAATTACACCACCTTATTTACCTGATTTACTTACTCCTTATTCCTTATAAACATGTCTAAAATAATTCACTCCTGCTAAATAGCTGGTGGAGAAGATATCTGCCAGGGACACCACATTGCCGACAGAAAGGTGTAGTGGATTTTACATCGGGCCAAACGAAAGGTTTAGTGTCCGTTGGTGTAGTTCATTCCTACACCAGTGGGACGAACGAAAGAACCTTTTTTTGTAAAACATTTCTTGATATTGGCATTGACAACTGACTTAACATTTGCAGAATACAGTGGTATTTCTATTGGCGATTTGGGATATGGTCCGATATTAACCAAAATATCGTTTACTCGGTCCAAAACTAAACACTCTCTTGACATTCCTGAAAAACCGGTTAAATTAGGGACGCGGTTGCCTGAAAAATAATGACTCAAACGTCAATTCACTAACCAGAATATTTTTACGGTTTCCGTTGAGTCAGAGAACACAGAAGTGACGCATCTCTCGGTCCGTGGTACAAATATAACAGAAAATATCATATATAGTGGATTGACATAATAAATACGTAACTATTCAGAAAGAAGAAAGAAATCTCAGTCAAACATTGTTCTTTCATCTATATTAGAGCAATTACTCTAACTCTGGACTGAGTCGTTTTTTTTTAAGTTTAGTCGACAGGGGGTCCCTGTGCAACACTTGGTTGCGTTCACTAGGAAACTTCAGTAAATTCCCATGCGGTTTGCCACACAAAAATAAAATAAAAAAATGTAAAAATGTTTCGATTCCTACCTTAAATAACTATCTTGGATGTGTCGGCACCGAAAAACAGAAGAACTTTCCCGGCAGCTGGTTTTATATTTTACGCATTTGCCAAAACGACTAGATAAATTACCTGAACTTGAACGTTTAAAGGTGGATTCAAATTTCAGTAAATAATGAAATATTTTGAAATACCTATCGCAAATATTCAAAAAACGGGAATTTCTAGGAAATAAAAAAAGCGGGGTCTTGAAAATATTATCAGGTGGAAATTAATTTAAATTAAACATTTTATACTTAAAATATTAACAAAATTTAGTGACTTCGTCACAAGTAAAAGAAAAGAAACGTTTGCCTATTCAATATTCAATAAGATGTTCGAATCAAAAATATTTATCATTATTTCTCATTTACAGCCAACATTGTCATCCTAGTGGAATGCCGCGCCTGGGCTTCAAACGTCAAATACGTCGGCGGTACCCTGAACAGGGCCGGCTCGGTAACGTTCGAAATTCAAGTGGACGGCGCCTATGAAAATCCATCGTTGAAGACGGCCAAATCCGCGAAAATAGAGGCTACAATAAAGCCGGAAAACAAAACTGATGCTGTGCCGACAACTTTAGCACCTGCAAGTTCAAGTCAAGCGACGACAACTGTAGTGAATGCCTCTACTATTTAGGAAAATGTGCCAGAGTGGAGTAAAATAAGGATTTAATTTTGTGATTTCTTCGTTTTCCAATTTTACTGTGAATTTACCTTGACTATAATTGTTTTTTTTTTTATTTTTTTCGGAGTGGAAATTTTATTTAAACGACCTAGAATGTGTTTTTTTTTTTCTTTTTAAATAACAAAGATGTTAATTTTGATCTATTATAGTCTGGGAAATGTCATCAGAAAATTGTAAAATGACAAATAACTGGTAGGTAGGTACATTCAAAGCTGCAATGTGTGTTTCTATATCTATAAAATTTTGAGCTCCACAGCACTTAGGCCCCATAGGCCCACGCGCTAATAAAATTCTTATTTTACTTCAAGCGAGACGTATTATTATCTATGAACTAAATCGTGCAAGTTTTTATTATTTATTGTTTTTAAGTTGTTTTTTTTTTTAATTTCCGGTTGTACTTAATTCCGTTCGGCTCTGGTAAGTGACCGAACTGTTTGTTTTTTTTTTTAGTCTTTTGTTACATCAAGTGGTAGACTTTTTATAGCAAATTATATATTTGTGGCTTGTTGTAAAGTTGTAAAATTTTTGTTTTGTTCGAAGCTTTAAACGAAAAAAGACATAGAAAAAAGGAGGTGCTTCGAATTATATCCTCTCAGGAATTATATTTGTTTTCTAGCTGTCAAATGCCATTCAATTATTTGGTCGATGTCAAAAACCAATGACGTCAAGTCAAGTGTTGTCAGCTATAATGTCATTTATCACAGCTGTCAAATCTTAGTTTTCACTCTCAATATAGGATTTCCATACAGGACCAATGCATCAACCTAACAAAATAAAATGTCAGAAATAGTGACTTAATTAAACGTCAACTGTTATCACAGTTGTCGAACGTCTTATTATTCTCAATTCTGTGATCGGCGCAAAAGGGATTGAGTATAAATTTTTTACTTATGGGAAATTGTTTTTGCAAGATCATTTTGTTTGTACAGAGGATCAAAATTAATGAATAATTTTATTATTTCTCGGCATAACTAGATTTTTACCGTTTTAACAGATTAAAAGAAACTATTTTTTGAGATATATCAGATCAAAAAACCCTATTTTCCTAAAAATTTGACTTATTCCTTTTTAAGCAACGTCCACAGAATTATCATCTATCGGGGGCTATTGTTTATTCCAGATAAATTCATACTTTTAACTACGAACGACTTTTTAGCATTCGCTTATTCCAATTAGTGACACATAAGTGACTCTTTAACAGGCATAAGTAACTTTAATAAAAACTACACTCTTGTTCACCTCCATGCCCCAAATTACGTCAGAAAAGGTAACGTAATTGAAAGTCGGTTTTATTTATCACAGCTGTCAAAGGACAGCTGTCATTATCAATTGATTGTCATCTGCCATAAGTATTTATCACTTCCGTCGAATGTCTTATGTCATTGATTTTCAGTTGTTGTCTAGACGCAATTGAAAGTCAGTTTCATTTATCACAGGTGTCACTATTAATTTATTGTCATCTACCATTTATCACTTCTGTCAAACGTCTTATGTCATTAACTTTCATAATGTCTATAACTAAAAGATTGCAATGCAAGGCCTCCTTTTTAAAGTCTGATTTTCAATTTTTGGATAAAATTGTACTTACTGTGTGTTGTCTTTTTTTTTATTTCAAACTTTTTCTGTGTTGTTGTGCGCTTTTATAACTGCTTTATATTTTTCTCTAAATAAAGACATTAATTTATATGCGAATAAAAAACTTTTTTTTTTGATTCGTTGATGAATGATGTGTTTAAATGAGTAGGTAGAATGAATTATAGTTTTAGTAGTTTGGAAAGGTTTTAAAAAACGTGTAGAATGTGCATGGTAAGTGAGGTAATTCAGGTTGAGTATTTTTTTAAGCTACAAAGCGCCTTAACAATGTACCTACTTAGGGATTTCTAAAAGTATGTGGGTTTAAACAGTTGCATTTAGGGTTGCCGATCTTTCAAAAAAAAATATCTATTTCCGGGATCGATCTGGATCGATAGCAAGAGAATCGATTCGCGATTAAATCGGACTGACAATGATCGATCTTTAAAAAAATTGATCTTGAAAAACTACTAAATTTTATTGAGCAACTTAGGGCTACTGATCATGCATACCATATCCGACGACACTGTCACGCTGTACATGTTTTTAATAAAAATATGTCACGTTCTACGTGCTCTTTAATAATTAAGGGACTAGTTATGTCCCAGGAGTTGAACGATAAGGGTCTAAATAGGGATAGCACTAAATTTCTATAACTCTCTAAAAAGGGTTGAAGGAAACAGTGTGTTCTCAAAACAAATATGATAATATATTTAGAACAATAATACAAAACTATGTCGCAACTGGACATACACAAATATAGGCAAAAAAAATATCTTGAAAAACAAATTGAATTAACAACTCGAATTTTGGGACACACGCCACAATCCTTGATCAAAAGTCAACACCGCGATTCAAAATACAAAAAAGGCTCCAAGCCCTCGCGACCAAGATGAAGCCTAAAGGTAGGGTCTCTTTTGGGCGAGTAGTCGAGACGTTTAGAAGCGGTGCTTAATCGCTTACGTCTAGACGCACCTGATCGCACCTAGTGGTATGTTTCGTCGTCACCTCAAGTAATCGAATAGTCGCCAATCAGTATTTTTTATTTCGTTCGACAAAAATGACTACTAGTGAACTTGTGATTGCAGCACAGTTGCTTATAGAAGAAGCAGAAGACGATGACATTTTGCTTTATCATTAATGCAAAAAAAGCATAAAAAGGTTCACAAAATGTTTGTTCGAAGAAGAAAGGAAGGGTGCTTTAGTACGTTAATAATGAGACATTTAATTGATGACGAAACTAAATTCAAAGAATACTTTAGGGTTACCAAAAGTCAATTTAATGAATTGGTTAATATTGTATCCATTGATATAAAAAAAAAATTTTTGTGTTCATTTTGCATCAATAGCAGGCGACTAAATAAACGTGCGCGTTTAAATTGCCTGACGACCAATTTTGCCGTAAAACGCGTCGTCTTGTGGCGATTTGTATTGACTTGTCAGACCATCATTATATCACTATTTAACCTATCGGCACGATTAAACGCCGCGTCTAAACGTCTCGACTATTCGCCCAAAAGAGACCTTACCTTATTCGTCAGTCGGAGAATCCCGAATTTGACTTCAATTACATAATTATATTATTTATATTTAATAATTATTGAAAACTCAGCCTTATTGCAACTTAAAACAAGTAAACGACATAATTAAACAAACTTTCATATTCAGAATGTTATTTAAATAAATAATTAATTATAATTTGGAAAAAATGTGAATTTATACAAAGCGTGACAATACGATGAACCGAAAATGTTTCTATATTGGCTGATTACTTAAAAAAATATATGTCTGGATGAATCATCGGATAAAACTTTAAAAAATATATTCAACTTTTTCTACGTCGAACAAATAGTTTTTCAAATAATCAGTTGCTCTAATATAAATGATGCCTGTGAAGACTATGATGTAATGCTAATCTGAAGTATGAACTGAGGCTAGGTTATGTGTATAAAGACTAGTTTTGTGTTTTGTCATCTTGTCCAAAAAATATGATCACTGCGCGCTCGTGATCAGGAGCGCGCAGTACACGACGCGCACACGTTTGTTGTTTTGTTACGAGTTGACGACTTGCCTGTATGTCTGTCCTAAATCACATAATTAATATTTATTTATATTTGATAATTATTAATATTGCCGAAAATAACAGATGTCGATATTTTAAATATAAAAATCTTAATTTGACGTCAAACTTTGACATTCTATTGATTCTCGAGTCTAACAAAATCACTTGTAAAAAGTTCGATCGTCGATTAAATTGACCCAGAAAGAATCGATTAAAAAATCGATCTGTTATAAGGCCGATTCAAGATCGGCAACCCTAGTTGCAATCAGTCTGTCAGTAATCACTCATTTATCATCGATTTGTAAATTTGATGTCATGGGGAGGATGTAATTAACACTTTCATTGCCCAGATCTCTAAGCCTGCGTATGTAACTTACTTTATTTTTTGGATGGAAATAGGTTTACTTTTATAGAATTTGGTAAACTGGTAAAAAATGAAACAAAACGCGGCAAACGCGTTGAGGGCACCCAGCTATAAAAAATGCCCAACAATTTTTTGCATTATTATAATTTTATCAAATATATTTCGAACGCGGTAGCCGCGTTGTGGGCAGTGAAAGGGCTATGATAATTTAACACTATAAATGAATAAATAAAAAATTAATAAATCAACCAATTACTATCATCTTTTATACCAATCAAAACAAACTGTATCTAAAAACACTGCATATCGAATCCCGATTGGATTTAAAAAATTCAGCTCATTGCCAGAGTAACATAATGATTTATGCGAAACGTCAATGTGAAGTGGGCTATAACGGTACTGTAGACCGATACAAATTATAACACATCGTTTAATACGGTCCTGTTTTTGGAACAAAGTTCAAGTGAAGTGTAAACTGTTATTTTAAAGTAGGTACTTATTGGTGATAACTTTTTTTGAAATGCAGAGAGTAGACCTTGCAGACGATGTTAAATAAAATAGATAGGTTTAATTATAAGTACACTAATCAGCCCTTTGCCGCGATTTAAAAAAACACATTTTATTGGTAAAGGGACGACGAATTGTCATTTAAAATTTCTAACCAGAAATGCATCCGCCTTGCGTTAGGGTAGGTAGTCACTTATTTTGCCAATCTAATATATATTATTTGTGAGTTTTAAGAGCTCATATAATTTTAAATAATTTAAAAAATGTATATGAATTTTGGCTAAAAGTAACAAAAAGGTTATAATTAATCGAGAAAAATATATTTTTAACTGTTTGAAAGTAAATCGATGTTCATAAATACAAAGTTCAATAGGTGGGTATTGTGTATCTATAAAAAATGCCTTATGAAGAAGAGTAGTTATTTAATATAAAAAAACGTTTCTAAAGTATGACATGACCGACAAAGACAACTAAGACGTTATATGCCTGGAAAGATTTTTGAAAGATCGCTCCATATATTTTTAGGTGAATTTTGTATTATTAATGTCAATACAAAACGTGTAATTGTTATTAAGTACCGGATTATCCTGTTGACCAAAGTTGAACAAACAAAAACTGTTATTTTAACACAAAATTGTTAATGCTGCGGATTTCTAATGTGCTCTTTTTTCGAAATTAAATGTAATTTGAAGTATTTGGGGATTTTTATTTCCACAAAAAAACAAGCCCTTTTGATTTTCAAATTTATAATAAGTTTCTGCAAAAGGTAACGCTACTTTCCAACATATGTCAGAAACAGTGTATATCTATGAAGACTAGAGAGAAGGAGGCGAATCGGCAATGGTCAAATTTCAAATTTCCGTCCTTCTTTTTATAAAGTTCGCAAAATTGACTGTAGTTGGCATGTCGAACAGTACTGCTGTCAATTTTCTATCTAAATCAATATAAAATGAAGTGTTTTTTTTTAAATTGGTGAAAAGAATCAAAATAATGTAAAAAAAGTACCCGAGTACAAGTAACATGAGTGACAAAAACCATCAAAGCAAGATTTACTTCGTTCCAGGTTGTAAAACGGGATACAAATTAATGCAAGTAAAATAATGTATTTATGTCTAAATATAATATTTATTGTAAACTAGTCACAACACGTATCATCATCATCTGAATTAGGGCGTGGTTCAAAGCCCACTTGTACTGAAGCTCTAGGCTTATTGTACCCCTCACAGTTTCTATCCCATCAGATTGATTTTCTTGATGAATTCAAGAATGTCTGATGGGCGCTTTCGCGATTTCTTCAGGTTCCGGATATTGTACCCCGAAGTACCATTCCCGTTCCCATTTAAGGTTCCGGCAGTGGCATAGTATGTGAATAGGAGTTTCGTCCTCCTCTTCACATATTCTGCATAGGGAGTCATCAGATATCCCTAAGAGATTTAGGTGTCTTCTAAGGCCGCAGTGTCCCGTAAGGAGTCCTATTACGCACAACACGTATCACGGAGTGTAGTTTATTTTATTACAAGTTTCTATAAAATCAAATATTACAGTCATAGATCCTGACTTACAAACAACAATAATTATACATTAAATTTTACTTTCTAGAGAAGAAAATTTGTTTTTTATAGAGTGTTAATGTTAGATAAAGAGTAGCTACTGTTATTTTTTTGTTGAACCCCAATTGTGTCCTTGTTTTTTATAGGATTCTAAACGCTTAGAACAGTAGCAGCATTTATATCGCTCCTAGGGCCGATAAAGCACTCTCTAGAGACACTTTTTAGAAGATATTTCCAAATATTATGAGACTCTTTTTACTGATGGTACTGTTAGCAAAACAAAAAATTTAAAGCCGAAATTTAAAGGATCAGACAATATCATGTACATTCCCCAATCTCCCTTAACACATTGCGTGCCAAGCCTAATTCACGAAATTACTATTTTTCGTCATTTGTATAGTGTACGAGACAACAACAATTAAATAAGGAAAATAGTGTGTATTCTTACACAAAATTGTAAATATTGTTCAAATGGATTTTGAAAAAAGTGATGTTATGTTTACAGAAGAGTAGAAGAGTATTAAATTGCCACATTTTAGATAATAATTAAACACATTCCAAAGATACATGCTTATTTTCTTACCAGTTCTAAACAATCTCACATGGAGGGATCTCCTAATTGCAATAAAATGTTCTTTTAACAAGGTAAATTGATGAAAATGGTAGGTACAAAAATGTTTAATTTGTTAACAATTATCTATATGAATAAGTGTTGTATGAAACTTTTTATTATATGTATAGACAGACGATTGTTTTCCATACATTCATTAACTTATATTACTTTAATCATCTACTAAATAAATTAAAGGTTTGTTGGTGTAGCTACACACAGATTGATAAAAAAAAACGAAGGTAGGTCTTTTCAAGTGTGGAAGTGGAAATGTTATTAGTATTCGCCAAGAGCCTTTTTTCAATTTCATTTTAAATGCTGTACATGAAATAGGGATTTTAGAGAGGGGTTGATATTTCAATATTTTTGGAGCTGGAAAAAATTTGATTTTTATTTTTAATTTTTTTACGCCAATACATAGATAATACAAATACAAACAACCCTTTTTTCAATTCCATTTTAAATGCTATATATGAAATAAGGATTTTAGAGAGGGGTTGATATTTCAATATTTTTGAAACTAGAAAAAAATTGTTTTTCTCTAATTTTATCACGCCAATCGATAGGCAATACAAATAACAACTGGCGTGATAAAATTAAAGAAATAACAAAAATTTTTCCAGCTCCAAAAATATTGAAATATCAACCTCTCTCTAAAATCCTTATTCCATGTACAGCATTCAAAATTGAATTAAAAAAAGTTATTTATATTTGTATTATATATCGATTAGCTTGATAAAATTAAAGAAAAAACAAAATTTTTTCCAGCTCCATAAGATCAAAGTTTGAATGTTCAAATATTAATCTGTTATCTTTGTTGTTTTTCTTTGGATACAATTCTCGGTTATATATTATTATCTCCGCTTCGCGTCGGGAGACAACACAACCTCGAGCTAAATTTAATGCCTTTTTCCCTTGTATAATAAATAATTATTTTTAATCACTTGATACCAGATTTATTTGCTATAAAATACATTATGGCCTCGTATTGTTGTATTCATTTCGTAAGAAATGTTACTTTTAGAAAGCTCTTAAAATTCATAAAAAAATAATTAAAATTCTACTACGAATTTTTATGGTTATTGGTTCTATTGGGTAATTAAATCCTTAATACTTTCGAATTATGTTTAAATGTGTTAGTCCTATCCTGTACACTTCAATATGCAATCAATGCGCAAGCGTGTGGGTCGCTTTTTTTAAAAGATGGCCGCCTTCATTTCTAGTTGCCTAATGAAAATTACATTATTTCCTATCCTCTGTAATAAAGGAATATAGAATTCTGCAAGCCAACAGCGAGTATCCTTACTTCTCAATAGATGTCGAACACGATTTTCACCTTTATGATAATGCAGTAAACTATAATAATCGCATAAAGTTTTCTGTATTGAATAAATTATTGTAACTACTATTTAACAGATGTCACTTTAAAAATGACTGCCTCATTTTATATGTCAAACACAGAACACTTACTCTTAGAACGGTAACTCCCATGTTAAAAAGGATGATAGAGTTTTTAGCGGCACCTGGTGGACGTGGTTGATTTTTTTTCAATTAAGTCCTTGTCTGGTAAGAGGCCATATGAAAGAAGAGAAAATAATAAAAAGAAGAAGAGAAGAAAAGCGCGGGGCTATTCAAATTTGACAGTAAAAATTATCCGCATTAAAAACTGTTAGCCAAATTAAGATTTGTTCACACAAATTGCATTTTTGCTTTATTATAGCGAATATCGCTATAATAAAGCAAAAATGCAGTTTGTGTGAACAAATCTTAATTTGGCTAACAGTTTTTAGATAAAAAAAACAAGAATATTCAAAAAATAAATTTATTAAAGAATATATATAATACAAATCCAATATTTAAAAAATGTAATGTATATGAAAATTGTATTATGTATGAAGTAGCTGGATGGCTGCTACATATTCCAGGATACAACACTGTCCATCATTTTGTGAAGAACTTTAGCTGTGAAAAAAGAAAGACAGTATAAGTACAATCTCATTAAAATAAATGTATTAATAAAAAATTATAAGTCCGAGGAATACTTTATTTTTTAATAAGTCCAACATCTACGATACAGCTTTGCAACCCCAAACGTCATGAAACACAAATTTCACAGTATATGCAGCGTTTAAGAATCCACATCGGATGCAACTGAGATGTAGTAAATCTTTGATCACGTGATTCAATTTACGTAAATGTAATGGGACAGATGTGTCCGATTTAAAATAAACTATTTGAGGCGCTGTTCTCCACATCTCGGCAAATGGACTAAAATAATAATTTATAATACTCTTAATATTACCTTATTTTAATTATTGTGCCACTATACTGTATTTGCTCAACCAGAATGAGTTGCAATGATTGCAAAAGTTGCAGAATAGAGGTCTGAGGATAATACTGAGCTGTTCGAGATTGGAACCAATCAATTCCATGTTGAATGTGCTTCAGTGGTTGACTGTTAAAAAATATTTGCTATTCTATTCCCTGCTTTTTATATTTAAAATTAAATCAGGAATCTCCAGAGTATATTTACAAAATATTTTAAGTTATAATCAGGATGTTCATGAACCTAAACAGGTAACAAGAAAAATGTACACAAAATTCAGTGTTTTTTAAAGGTGTACAGGCTTTTAATAATTTGCCTGAGGATATTAAATGTTCTTCAAATGTGGCAATATTTAAAATAAAACTGCATGAATACCTGTTCACCTATTGACTTTTTTTTTCTCTTTCTTGTTCTTTTATTGTTTTGTATAGTTGACATGTAAGTGTACTGTATCTTATGTATTTTTTATTGCATTTTAAATGTATGTTGATTCTATATTTAGGTATTTTTTATATTTTAAACGTGAAGATGTATTGACATGTAAAAAATAGTTTTTTTGACTAAATAAACGTTTTATATATAGGTATGTAGATAAAAAAACGCTCGAGATGTAAAAAATGCATCTGATGTGGATTCTCAAACACAGCAATAAGTATAAAATAAATAAGTACTAACTTTCCTTCTCGAAAAGAAGTCCAACATATATTATTAGTCTGCTTCTTCTTCTACGATACAGCTTTGCAACCCCAAATGTCATGAAACAGAAAATACACAGTATAAGTATAAAATAAATGAGTAGATTACTAACTTTCCTTCTCGAAAAGAAGTCCAACATATATTATTAGTCTGCTTCTGCTTCTTCTTCGAACCTTTACTTGAAGTAGAAGGTGTTTGATCAACATATTCAATTTCTACGTTATTTGAGGAAAGTCCATCCGCTACTCTTCCAGGAACTGCTGGTAGGAATAGCGTTGGAAATGCTTCAGGTGTTAGACCTCGACGAGAGCCAACTACTTTATACTTCTCTTCAAAATGTTTATGACATACTACAAAGGTGGAATAAATTTGTAGTTTTGTTTTATTATTAAATCTTGGACAACGAACAGCAAGTGCCCAAATTTCAAATAAATCGGGTTCATTCCTAGGGTGGGGCAGGCGATGCATCTTGTTGTTCACATCAAGGCAATTCGGTACACAACATTTTCTATAATTACGCATCTTTATGGAAAAGCACGAAATAACAGCGGAAAAAGCACAAGATAACAGTTCAAAACGCACAAATTTATAATGGAAAAACAAGCTCACTAACAGTGGTCAACTAAATCAATTAAGCAAATTGGAAATGAAAACACAACTGAACACAACCAAGTCACCAATATAAATAAACACGTTTGGTTTAAGCCAAGACGCCATGACACCCCCCCAAAATCAATATTCACCTGTCATTTACACTCCCACCACCTACCCCACCACCCGACTGCAGCGCCACGCGGACGTGGTTGATTGATCCTTGACCTGCGCATACCAGTTTCCCACCCCTGATGTCAAAACAAAAGTCAAAATAAATAAAGTTTAAAACAACATATGACTTTTTGCTTTTGAATAGAAATTATTTAATTTTTCCCTCGAAATGAAGCCTGCTATAGTAGCCGATGAAATGTTTCCAGAAGGTGCTGGCCCATACATGGATTTGGAAGAAGTAAGTCGTTTTTACTTTATTTGTAAACAAACAGAAGCTCAATACAATTTCATGTATTCTTGTAGGCTGGAGGCTCGTCAGGACTGTTGATGGATTTAACTGCTAATGAAAAAGCCGTACACGCCGATTTTTTCAATGGTATTTATCGTTTTTAATAATACATAGTTTTTATTTTGATTAACAAAGGGGATCAATTTTATGTTGTATAATCTGTACATATCTTAAATAAAAGTAGCCTTATGCCCATTAGCAATATTGGGCTTTTGCCATCATGGTTTCATTTTAATTTGTTTTTGATTGCTAGTAGAAGTTACTTTGCAATTTAAAGGTTTAAAATGTCCTCTTAATTGATAACAATATCCGAAGATGTCAGTAGTGTTGGGATCATTCGAATGAAAAATAATATCTAAATTCAAATCATAATTTATGTATAATGAATAGATATTGATGAAATTCATGATGATGTATTTTCGTTATTAATGATCAGTGTGTAAATATGGTATATACATTAACTGGTTTTAATTTGAGATCATATTTAGGAATGTAGCGATACTACTGATATGATACTTGTATCAATCCTTTTTTTTCAATACTGGGTATTTTAGAACACTATACTTTTCTTTCGATACTTTACCCATATTGGAACTATTCCAGTTTCAATACTTTACTAGTTTTGGCATTACAATACATACAGAAAGTGTAGTGTAGGAATACTTTATGGTATGTACCTATATGTTATACCTTTTATAATATAATATCAGTATCGATACTTTGTTTCTGATACTCTTTTCAATACTTTAGTGATACCCCAATCATAGTATTGCCAAAATCCTTTAACCTTTTTTGCATATGACACACTCTTATGTGCATATTTTTTTGAGCATTTCCAAACCACTGACATTTTCGCTCTAGGACGCATTTTGTCAAGATCAAACACTGACATTACTATAAACTGACTCAACATTATAAGAATCTGATTCAGCGCTATAAATTACAATGCGAGACTCCTGTTTTCAGTATATTTTGAAATTAATTTGATAATTGATGATTTCAGACAGACAAGGGGAGAAACCTTTACAGCCATTTGAGTAATCATCTGATTATGATAATCGTTCGAATACTTATATTCGATTATTAAAATCATTGATTTTGCCCATCACTACAGGATAGATCTTACCAAGTTACATAATTCACAAACTACTATTAACCCTAGATTGCGTTATTCAATAGTCTTTTCTTACCAGTAATACATCAATTTACCTGTTCATTTTCAAGAGAAAGAAACTGCAATTATTATTGTGTCAATTTTTTAAAAAATAACGTAACAATAATGTAAAATTCCAAAAAAAAGTAATACTATTTTTAACGTTTGAGTCACCTTTTATGCAAATCACATATTATTTTCATTATTCTTTTATTGATAATAAGGACACATGAAACTACTTTTAAGTTCCTTCTTGAATAGCGTGCTTCTCATGAGTATAACACAAGAAACAGAAGCCAATTACTAATACCTAGATACCGTACAGCACTTTTTGAAAAGAATCTAGAGTATGGGTTGTAAATTTTATAATATCCTTCCAGAGGGCATAAAGAACAACAGTAATCTCTTCACTTTTAAGTCTAATTTAAAAAAACTTTTATTAGAGAAAAACTGCTATTCCATAGAAGAATATTTTATATATTAATTCATGTTTTTGTTAGGAATGTTTTCTTCTTTTTTTAAGTATATAATTTTATGTATTTTTATAATTACCATGACATGTTTCACAATAAACGTTGTATAATTTTTTGCACAATTTTCTTATAAGGTGAAATAAATAAATAAAAAAAATAGTGCTGGATTTAGATTAAGGTACAGTCTGTTCGCTATACTTACGCGGGTTTCGGATTAAAATTTTTATGAGTATTTCTAGGTAAGTACCAGAAAGTTTGACCTGTTCTTTGGGGAAATATCAACTGGTTAAATTAAATGAAAAATAATGTACAACTTTTTAATTAAATAATAATGGAGAATCTTTTGTATAATTAAGAGCAGAATTAAACTTCTTCATTAATGGAGTCTAATGTGGCTATTATAAACCTAATAATAATTTTATATTATACTTCACACAGAAAATATGGTCTATGTATAATAAGAGGGTTATTTAGCTAAAATAAAATATTTTCTAACATAAAAATTTGTTCTATGTAGGGAATTTCAAATGAAAAATAAAAAAATTGAACTTGCCAACAAAAATGAAAATCAGTCATTATCATCCAAAATATCATAATCGTCATCATCATCACTGTCATCACCATTAATTGTTATTATGATTGGACTTATTTCGTTTATTTTATTTTCACGAGTCCACCAATCGTCTATTAGTTTCTCGAACTTGGATATACAGTTCTGCCACACTTCTGGAGTTACAATTGAAAGTGCTTTTCGCCAAGTTTCCCGAACTGCGTCGTCACTAACCATTAGGCCCAATATGGTTGTCATAATATTGTTTTGCTATTCCCTGTATATATTCAATGGGATTAAACTGTCAATGATAACGGTGGCAAACTTGACGACCGTAACTTTCAATAATCTGATTCACAACAAAGGTTTTTGGTTTTGCGTGTATATTTTTCAAGCGTAATAATTCTGATTTTAATATATATTGAGGAAATGGTATATGTTCCTTTGTCAAATTTTTCTTTAATTGTATCAACAGTCCAAGAATTCGTTGGACTTTTGTTTAATACTTCAGACTGGTAAGGTGCATTGATGAAAATAATTACGCTGGGCTCACTTAAACCTGGGAGAAGTTTTTCATGCAACTATTTTACAAACATTTCTGTGTTCATATTATCGTGATAGTCACTGGATTTTGACTTAGATGAAAATATTAAATCGGCACCTTCTATAAAACCCGATTTCCCTCCTGCATGTAAAATTATGTGTCGTTTCCCTTCTCCATCGGTATGTTTGATGGACTTTACGTTATCACCTTGCCATATTCTCTTGGTTGCACCCCTAGAAAATATCCATGTTTCGTCTAAATATATAAAATTCGCCCCTTCTTTAAATTTAGAATATTTTCTTAGAAAGTTAATTATCTTGTGCACGACAGAACTTCTTCCACAAAGGGCCTTTCTGTTATCCTCCTTTTGAAATTTGAAACCCAAGTTATGTATCACTTGCCATAGACTTGTTCTGCCAATGTCGTCAAATTTTCTATCTATTAATTCCGAGAGAATTGTATTTAAGGTCACATGTTCCTTGTTGGCCCTCATTCAATAAATGGTATCACGAATTTCAAATTTCTTTCCATCTGGAATATCTTTCGTTTTCGCGGTGATCTTCTTTCGGCAGTTCACTATTGTGATTTTGTAATACTCCTCTTAATTTGGTTTCACTAATTCCTAGAGCATCGCATACGCGTTGTTGTACAGACATTACCGATTTTAAAGGACCGCCATTTTCTTTTTCATCCGTAAAATACTTATGTACACTACAAATTAGACTATCTACATCTAACACACGTCTAGGCATTTTTAAAATTTCCACTAAATTTACAATATACATACACAATGTCAACACTTGCAAAGAATCAATTCAACTGCAATATTTGTAACAAATTTAGTACCTACCCTAATGTTATTTTAATTTAAATCTGACCATTAGGGCAATTTTACCTAATTTCATGGGAAGAGGCTTATTGGAACTGGTTGTCAATGACTAATTTGCATAATTTTGTTAATCCGAAACCCGCGTAAGTATAGCGAACAGACTGTAACCATATTTATCTTGACCCAATGCTGGATGCTGAACACAATACAACATTTTTTTTAAATACAAAAACAGAAGTCATGATAGAGAACCAGTAAATTATGTATTATTACATTGCTTGGCAATAATGGCATTTTGATGGACAAATACGACGCTTTGCTGTACAAGATCAAATAGACTTTGAAAATGCTTTACTGCACAGCGAAATGCTTTGTGAGTATGTATGGTTACCCTAACGTAGATTGTTGTGATTTTCCCCCCACTTTGTAAGGATTGTTTTGAGTTCACGGCTTAGAGTTTCGTTTCCAGATATACTGTCTTTTTCAATGGAGCATAGCTTTAACCTTAAGAAACAGAAACTTTAAACGCAATCAATCAAAATAACAAATTAATGCTCTACACATTAAATTATTAATAAAATGAGTTTTCAAATGAAGTGTGATACTTTACAACATGTAAAACTTTTTTATACCGCCAGAGGGCGCTAAAATCAAAAGTAACTTCAAGTCATATTACTGAAGTCCCCATAAAATAATCTTTTTATGCCTCATACTCGGTATTTTCCCTATTTAAATTGTACTGGTTATAGTGAATGGATGGGAGGGGAATAACGCAGGACAGTTGACAATATAAATATGTTCCCCTCTTCTCAATAACAATTGACATTTTCGGAAATATTCATATTTTGTAAGGGCTGAATTATTGAGGATGGCCCATTTTCAAGTTAACACCTAGTATTTCTTAGACTCGTATATCTTCTTCGGAACACCCTGTACATTTGCTATTTGACGAGATAATTTTTCATCTCATATATTTTGATCAGAGATAACAGGAAATGTAACTACTAACAAATATCGTGCTGTAGTGAATAAGACATATTCTAAGGGACACAGGAGGGTTTAATATCCGCTGTTGTCATGCTTATTTAAATATTCTCGTTTTGTTTACAAAATTTACATATCTTAAAAAGCTAAAATAATTCAACCTATTTTATTGCAACTGAACCCAAAACATTTTGAATCATTAGTTATATCAAATTTAACTAAATTATGTGTAATTTCGATAAATTAGATGTAATATAATTTTCAATAAATTCCCAAACCTATTTGATGTCAAGTTGGATGTGCATTTCTACATTGGTTATTATAAGCATACAAGCGCTTACACAATACACATATTCATTAATAAACAAAATGTGTATCGTCGTAAAATCCTTTTCTTTATCCCCTCTTACCTCTCATCATACATCTCCTCACCTCGAACCAACAAATGGAGCGTATTGACTGTCGGATTAATCTTGACAGCATGAATATTATATTTTATCAATGAATAGATATATCTCCTGTTATCTCTGATTTTGATACAACTTACCTACCTTAAATTTGGCTTTTTTTTTTCACATGACCATTTTCTTTTCAGATTTTGAAGACTTATATGACGACGATGACTTACAATAAATAAACCACTAGTTTAATTGCTAAATTTATAAAACCTACGACGAAAAAATAAAAGCCCGTTTTGCCAAATTATGTTTTATTTCAATGGGAACATGAATGTTTACCAAATACTGTCAAATTCGTACCAAAAATTATGTTTGTAGCAAATCACAGTTCAAAAGATGTAATTTTATTCTACTTGTTTTTTTTTGTAAAATTTCAAGTTGTACTACTTTTTTTTAATAATTCGTATTTTCAAGTTTTTTAAATAATTAAATAATAAAAAGCTATTCTAGAAAAATGGCATCTAATAACTGTTAATCTATTTTTTATTATTAACAACCTGATTATTATACAGGCAATAACATACGGGGTGATCCAGTCGGTTTTTCTGTGATATTTACGACCGTTTCACCCTGTATAACACTCAGGAATCGACACAGAAGGTAATAAAAAAACTGATTATAATTTCAGGCAAAAAGTAAAGTTGAAACTTCCGTGACGGTCCCTGTATATGAGGTCATACAAATTGGACGATTTTTGAAGACGAAAAGAAAAATTGGTTGTGCAGAAAATGTCTATATTTAAATCGGTATGGACAATGGTTCAAAAATATTATTTTCCAAAGTACGTTGAAGCCGAATTAGAATTAGTATTTTTTTATTAAAATTTTATTGTAAATTTACCTAGTACAACTTCATATAATTTAGCCGGTGCAGAAGTGTCCACTTAGAGACTCGGTACAGAAATTTATGCAGATGGGTGCCATGTTAACAATGAGAATAAGGCACTTTAAGAAAATTGAGAAAACAAAAATAATGATATACAGGATGTTTCAGAGTGAAATGTATATACGTTAACTGTAGGACTAGGACACTTGGATGATTTGAAATCACCCATTATTATTGGGACCAGCGTATCACATTATGTAGTTACAGATTTTGTATACATCATTCAGTATAAAATTGTCAAAATTACCAGATATATTTTCATCTATAATGCAACAAGTATTAGAAATTAAAAATTTAAAAAACCGACTTCAAAAACGTGCAGATGCCATCATCACATCTTAACCAAATTTATATAGGACCACCCCTGAGGCACCCCCTTACTAACAAAAAAAGAATCATATAAATCGGACAAGGTGGTAAAGCATTATCGCTAAACATACATAAAAAATGAAGAGTGAGGATTTTCTCATGGACCCAATTATTAGATTTTGACCAAATTTATATGGGACCACCCTTGAAGTACCCCATTTCTAAAATCATTGAAATCGGACACCGTGTTAAAAAATTATCGCTGAACATACATACAAAAAATATCGCGACGAATTGAGAACCTCCTCCTTTTTTGAAGTCTGTTAAAAATAATGCCCAAATATATAAAATCCAGGTCCGGCTTAAAAAATTTGGTAATTTTTTTCCATCTCAAAACAATACACTGTATAACAAAATTTTGCATATCTGATGAGATATTTCAAAAATGCGGAAATAAAATGATTTATAGGGGTTCTAATTTTTTGTTAAAAAATAGTTTTTTTACTTTCTTTTTTGAATTTGGTCCAGTTAATATCGTCAGAATTTCACCAGCTAATAGTTTATCGAAAAATAAAGGTATTTTGTCCAATAAACTATGATCCAATTTTGCTTTTTTTGTCTCTGCAAGTTCAAAGACATGAGAACCCAGACAACACACCAAATCCCAGAGATATCCACAGAATATCTTTTGTGGATATCCAATATATCCACAGGATATCAGAAATATTCCGTGGATCTAATATGGATATCCAAATGTCCGTCTATATCCAGAATATAGAAGATATCCTAATGGATATCCGGCAAAATATCTAATGGGTAACTTCCAGGAAATACAAGAAATCCCAGAGATATCCACAGAATATATTTTGTGGATATTCAATATATCCAATATGGATATCCAACCAAATGTCCGTCTATATCCCAGGATATAGAAGATATTCGGATATTCAGCAACATATTTTATCTTTAGTAGAGGTTCATAAGTAACCAATGATTATTGAATAACGTCGAATGAAAATAGCAGAGATAAAAAATATTTTGAACACTCAAAATATTTTCAACACTCTGCCTTTGATTTTGCCCACTAAGGAGAAAGTCATCCTTATTAGGACTCTTCAGCAATAAATGGAAATTCTCGACTTCAGTCTCTAATGAAGTCTGAATAGAACAAAAATTTCGATCGAACTCAATTACGGCGGGTCAAGCATGCGTAGATGCGGAAGTGGTATCGCCATCTATTCTTAGTAAGCAAAATCAAATAACATCTAGTGGATATCCACAATGGTTTGCGTTCGCGCCGAGACTTTGATATATTTAGTGGATGTCCATGAGATATTGAATACACCTTAAAAAAATTAATTTTAAATATCTGAACGGTACTATTAGCCACAATGGCGTAATTTTTTAATAATTTGCTATATAATTACTATTATTTATGGACATTTGCATGTCTGTAAATTACATATCATGGATATAAAACAGATATCCACCATGGACTGGACATTCAGTGGATATTGGGATGTGCAGTAGATATCCAAAAGATTTGGTGTGCTGTCTGGGAAATTATTAGTTTTATTTTTTTCTTTACTCGAAAAAGATTAAACGAGACAAAAAAGTTATATGTTTAGTTAGTTTATTTAAAAAATTAAAAAAATCCACCGAGCGATATTTTTTGTGCCGAAAACTAATCGAAGTGTGCCCTGCGAGGACGCCTTTGGAAATATTGCATCAACTTTAACATGTGCGAACTGAAAATTTTATTAAAATCTGTCATATTTTTTAGATATTAATAAAAAAACATCAAAAAGAAAATACAATTGGACTATGTTTTATCCATCGAGATAGTATGAAGTAGAGACGACATAACACTATTTTTTGATATGACTTGTTCATACATTCATTTATTTGAACTCAATTTAATATTTGCAGATTGACGGAATAAAAATGTTTCTCACTTAAATGAAGCTAATTTAATAATATGGCATTTATTCTTACCAAAACTGACCGGCCCCACTAAATCGATTTTGACATACAGGACCGCCGAGAGCCATGGTGGGGCCACTGGCCCGCCCCCACACATAACCTGTTTATTTAAAGCTGCCGCCCCCGGGGATTTTGTCCCCCCTGCCTCTCCCTCTTGTCGGGCCTGTTGACATATGAAGTGTAACGCAAAGGTGTGGACACTTATTCTTATCTCAATGTTTTTATCAAACTATTGGCTGGTAAAAGCCTGACTATATAAACTGGATCACCCTGTATATTTATAAAGATATAACTCTTTTTTGTCTTTTCATTTTTTCCTATTAGATATATTAACCAAAGGAGAATTCCCATCACATACTTTTAGCGAATCATTGGGCTGGAAAACTAGCAATTCCTTTTATCGGTTAATGGATGAATAGGGCGCGTTTGTGAGATGTATCATATCATACTTTTCTGCATGGTAAAATTCCATTTTAAAAAATATATATACTAGTATTTTCATATTTAAATCTGAGAGTATTCCCTTTTTAAATTTGAGTAAAGATATATCATAATTATTATTACTCAAATCTAAATTCAATGCGTTGGTATTATATTACCTAATGGTCGCTAGTATTATTTTTATAACACATGGCTTGAGAATATCTAGTTTTCTTTATTTAAATTGTTAACAAATTAACAAAAAATTACATAGAGCATCTAAAACGAAATTCGCAAATTTGAAAAAACTCCAATACAAATAATTTTTTTCCGTTCTTTTGAAAGCCAAAGTTTATTAAACTAGGCCTGGATTTTACTTATGGTTTCTATCGCATTATTTTTAATATAAGAGCAAAATGTATTGTCAAATTTTAAATTTTTATACCGAATGGTTATTTTGGCTAAATAAAAATGCATGTGAAATACCTGTTAAAGTTAGAGACGATAAGACTTATTAACACATTTTGACACAGGTGTCTGAATAGTTGATTTCTGATTAGGCCAGGGTGGGCACCAGTGTGTGTGACACTTTTACTAATTGGGTTAGGTCAACGAACTCTCACATTCCTACATTTTTTTAATGCTATAAGTCTGCCTTGGCCTGTAGATTGGCGTGCTTGTTGTGGCTTTCAAGTAAATATGTTTATGTAGAATTTGGAAACTGTTGGTGTCTTTTTTGACCACTGTGATACAAATGTAGGCAAACACACATTTTTGTAGCAATAAGGAAATAATTATTATAAAAAATTAACAAAAAACTAAAAATATTGGAAAATACATCGTTTTGCATAAAATTTATTGTAATATAAACTATTTTTTTTACGCCCACATTGATATCTATTCTACGTACAGAATTTTGAACTGAAAAATAGGCCATTGCGTTCTACTGAACTGACATAATTTCATATCCATTCTAGAACATATGAAGTTCATATTTGGTGACCGGGCTGCCATTAGTGCTGGGCGATTATTAAAATAAATAATAGATTGTTTAAAACAATGGGCTAATCGAAAATAATCGATTTTTCAAATAAAAATTAATCGATTATTTTTCTCACCGTTAGTTACTATTATTTCTTTTACATCCCCATGGATAATAGTTATTTTACGCATAGACTACAAAATGAAAAAAAAAAAAAAAAATGCCACTCGAACAAATGATCATTCCGCCTATCGTCTTCGTGCGATATGGCCATCATATCCACTCTTTTGTTACACAAACTATTTTTTTATTTGTCAAACCAATTGTCAATATTTTTTTATCAAGATTAAATATATTTTAAAATCTGATATGTTCAACACATGACTTTCCTGTCTAGTTATTACAGGCTTTTTCCGGTTATTTTGTACAACCTATTGTATCATCCCTGTAGAGGATGAACTAAATACATACATTTCCACACATCTTACTCGAAACATTTTTTTATATATATTCTTTGCCAACGAAAATACAAAAAAAATTATAATTTTACACTTTTCCTCAAATTTTTCCATTACGGTCCATTTTAGGAATCATGTATAGAACAAAAATTATAAAGAATATATCGCAACCAACTTTTATTTGGACAATTTTCCTAAAATTTCG